CTTGAAAGAGTTGGAATTTGTTTGGTGTATGGGAAATGGGGTTCATAAGGATATTCTAAATCAGTGTGCTCTTGGTTTTATGAGGTAAAGGGGAGTGCATTATCTTAAGGAGAAGAGACCATTATAGTTTGTTAAGGAGTGGGATAGATTTTCCTTTTTTTTAAACTCATTTCGGATTTTGGTCTTTCGGAATGCGCATGCTTGCATGAACTGAAAGTATTATTGTTTAAGTTATGTTTATCGCCCAGTCGAACTGTGTTTAGATTTTCTACAGTTGGCCCTGATGTCGAGAAAATATAGACCTTCTAAGAAATATCAACCATAATAAATTTTTGAATGCTGAATGACATTTTCAAATTAGTAAAGAATTGCCTGGTGATGGTTATGAGTTATGAAGCTTCTTAGATATATTATCCACCTTAGAAGTAATGAATGGGGCGCAACTGTGAACAAAGCGAGAAAGTCATTAAGTGTACATATATGAAGCAGTTTTGAATTTTGAATATGTTTCTTGTTTTCTTCTATTTTTTTAGAGTTCAATAGTTGCTCATAGTTGTGATGTGCCTTCACAACTGATAATTAAAGTAAAATTGGCAATGATTAGATCATAAAGGCTTTTGATCTTGATACGCGCCCTCACATGTTTTTACTGTTTCCAGGCGCTCAGTGCTGGAAAAGAAGTTGGCATCTGAACGTGTGCCAGAACAGGAACAGATCCATATGTTGAAGGATTTGGAGCGCACAGAGACTGAATATATGCGCCTTAAAAGGCACAAGATTTGTGTTGATGATTTTGACCTTCTGGCAATAATTGGGAGAGGGGCCTTTGGAGAGGTTAGAGACATGCATATTTTTTATAGTTTGCATAGGTGCTTGGTTTAAAAGATTATTATTTTCCCTCTTAAACATTCTATACAGAGAAAGTGAGTATAAGCTTATTTCAGCTACCTGTGAGTTGTTTATTGTTACAGTGTGCTGATCATTTCTAACACAAGTATGATGGTTATTTGTTTCCTTTTCTTTGTTGTAGTTTTTGTATATTCTGTTTGATACTTCCTTGATTAAGAACCTTTATATAAAACTTTATAGGTTAGACTCTGTCGGGAGAAGAAATCTGGCAACATTTATGCCATGAAAAAGTTGAAGAAGTCAGAAATGCTCAGTAGGGGGCAGGTATAATATGATAGATTTAGAGTTGATATAAATTTTAACTTCTATTAAAGGTATTTTAAACGTGCTTGAATCTATGCACTCACTGGTTGTCTATCTGCAACATAGGTTGAACATGTTAGAGCTGAAAGGAATTTGCTTGCAGAGGTTGCTAGTCACTGCATTGTGAAACTCTACTATTCCTTTCAAGATGCTGACTACTTGTATCTAATCATGGAGTATCTACCTGGTGGTGACATGATGACTTTGCTTATTAGGGAAGAGACTTTGACTGAAACTGTTGCAAGATTTTACATTGCCCAAAGTGTTATGGCTATAGAATCTATCCATAAACATAACTACATTCACAGGTTGGTTTATCCAGTTGTTTACAGGCTTGCCAACATATCAGAAGCTGGATTCTCTTGAACAGCATTATATTAATAATTGTACATCAGGAACATAATGTAACTCTTGCATTTGTTGCATCTATATTTTCAGAGACATAAAACCCGACAATCTTCTGTTAGACAAAAATGGACACATGAAGCTTTCTGATTTTGGTCTTTGCAAGCCTCTTGACTGCTCAAATTTGTCATCCATAAATGAAAATGAAGTACTAGATGATGAGAACCTACATGAGACAATGGATATTGATGAATCCTTCCCAGAATCCAAAAATGGGAGGCGCTGGAAAAGCCCGCTTGAGCAACTTCAACATTGGCAAATAAACAGAAGAAAACTGGTATGAAAATGATATTTTCCTTTATGTTCTAATGTGGCATTTCACATCTCTTAGATTCTTAACTAATAAAGTGCAAGCAACAGATGTTTGCTATAATTAACACTGCATGGATTTAAAGATAGATTATTTAATGTCACTCGGAGTCGTATATGTAATTATGTGTCCACACTGTTACAAAAGTCAAGTAGATCAAGATCAGAGAGGCTATATTAACCTTACCAGAAATGGTATATTTCTGAAATGACCTTCAGTACAGTAGTTCATTTTAAATAAGGATATATAAAGCATGGTTCAGTGGAAAAAATGTATGGTTCTGTTTGAGGGACATCAGAGTATATAATCGTAGTTTTCACAACACAGCAGACATTTACATTTTCTTTGTTATTTGATCAGTCAATTTCCTGATTGAAGAGTATAATGTTATGAGTGCATTAAAGTTCTTGTGGTAGTGTGTTTTGGCAATTTCAAGGATATTGGTCCTTGAGATCTTTGTTTTTCTGATCATAGTCATATTACTTTGTGCCAATGATAGGCATTCTCAACAGTGGGAACTCCAGATTACATCGCTCCAGAAGTATTGTTGAAGAAAGGATATGGCATGGAGTGTGACTGGTAAGTCCATACAATTAATGTTTAAGAGGGAAAATAATATTGTAATTGTGTTTTTCAGTGAAGATCTTTGCAGTGTTATTGGATTACTATAGTAGCTAAAATGTGGTGTGCTAAACTTCATTGTGAATTCTATTATCTTACTGAATTCCTTCCTGGTTGTAGGTGGTCACTTGGTGCAATAATGTATGAGATGCTTGTTGGTTATCCCCCATTTTACTCTGATGATCCAGTGACAACATGCAGAAAGGTTGATTTACAATGAGTATATGTTTTGGTTATATTTTCTAATTGAAGTATGTG